TCCACCCAGAGCACTTGCTGAGTCACCTGGAACAAGCTAAAGGTGCCTCCCAAACCAGCCAAAATGAGGCTGTTGCAGAGAAAGCAGTAGAAGCTTCCCCTGTAGATCAGCCAGTGACTTGTGATGCAGCCAGTGCCAGTACAGACTCAAGGAGGAAGGCCAGGCGGGGAAGAAAGCCCAAAACAGCAAAAGCAGAAGCACCTCTTGTTGCTGAAGAGAGAGATTCTGCAGGTAAAGCAAAACTTAAGAAAATGCTAAGCATGTATCCGCTCTTCTTCTGTATTGATGCCACCTTAGAAAGACCTAAAAAAGTAGCAGAGACAAGATGGAGGGTTTTAGTTAGATCACTAAAGCAGACAATTTACAAACTTTGTTAATTATCTCTGATGGCCTTGTCTATGGTAAATGTTGTAGCACCTACACTTAGATTGCCTTCATTCTCCTGTGATGGTTTTAGTAATGGAGAGGCCTGGAGACACACAGAATAGTGGCTATGGGAGACCTGCCTAGGCTTCTACAAGAAGGAGCAGGAGGTAAAGCATCCTCCCTCTCAAGAGGAGATACCTTCCTCTGTCTACCTTACATTTTTCAGGGCCTTACCTTCCTTCAAGGGAAGTTCTAGTAGGAAATTTTATAATGCATAATCAACTGACACCTTAGTAATAGGTTGGAAAGGTTAAGAAACTGCCTCCCTAAGAGATGTTGACTACACCTCACTTGTCATTCAATAGTGACTTTTTCTATCTTGCAAGAGCTACCTACCTACTCATTAGCAATCCATTATTTATCATTGACAACTAATATGCTTGTGAATAAATAGTGTATTCATGCCAGATCTCATTACAAATTCTGTATTTGAGGTTTTATTTCTACCTATCCACATTAACTCTGTACTTTCATGATGTGTTTGCAGTGGAACGCGTATCTGACATTGTAACTCAGGTCCCAGCTGAAGAGGTAGCCCTGCCTTCAGCTGCAGAAGAAAGGATTATGGAATTGGTTTTAGGAAAGATGCCTAGCACCACAAGTAGCATCAGTTCAGTGACAAAGTAAGTGTTCTGGGATGCAGTTTCCTCTTAGGCTTAGTTAAGATTCTGTAGCATGTAACAGCTCTGCTCAACTGGGTCCACAAATGCTCTTTCTCATTAGTGTAAAATTGTGTGATGCTGCTGCTGCTGCAAGAGCTGACTTTGAGTGCCACAGAGATGGCTTGTGCACTGGAGGATGGTGGTACAGAGATGGTGAGATTGGTGGTAGAATTTTGACACATAAATGATGAGAATTTAATTTTTCATTACTATACTGCTTTTATTTAGTGTGATTCCAAAAGTCTCCTACAGCTGCAAGGTGAAATATTACTCCCATTAAATGTTGGTGAGAAAACAGGCAAACAGATTTTTGCTAAAAAAAAAAAAAAATAAAATATGCTAACTGTTATTACTCAGTTTTGCATCTTAACTCATAAATGATTTCTTGTTGATTTGTCTGTGTGATGCTTCAGATTTTGAGCAGTGGGAGGGGAAAACTTCAGTGTAACAGTGCCTCGGGGAGATTCGTAAATATAATTCAACTAATTTAGGTTCTTTATGTCTTTTTGTCTTGGTATAATTGGCTTTTTCAATTATTTTTTGTGTAATAAAGCACTTGATTTTTCAGAATTGCCTAGTAGTGCTATATATTGAAGTCCTTAGCAGACACAGAGCCATCAAAAATGCGTTTCAGCAGGTGGTTGTGCTGGGAAATAGAACAGTACTGCTTCTTGGCACCCTGCCACCCTCTTATTATATATGCCTTTTGCATGCAAACTGCCAAGCTTTCTAAGCTGAAGAGTGCTAATATTTTCAGATGAGCAGAACAGATCCTTTATGTTCCTCTGAGGGCCTTCAAAGAGAATCTCTGAGGCTGGTGGCTGCTGCTTTTTTCCTCTTTGTGCTGGGTGAAGATAATTTGGAGTGAGGTGCGCTCTGACATCTGCCACTTGCAGGGGGTGGCCAGGAGGGTACCTTGGCAATGAGGAAGCCCCAGGCTCTTTCCCTCCTGCCAGAAGCTGAGCATAACACTCCTCTAGCTTTTGCCAGTTGGTGGGGCTCTTTCTTGCAACCTGTGGGATACCTTTCAGTCCCTGCCTTTCTTTCTCTAATCCAGTAGGTTTGCTCATCACCAAAACACCATGTCCCTCAAAAGAAGTTTAATTCTCTCCAGTAGACACGGTATACGGCGGAAACTGATAAAACAGCTTGGGGAGCACAAGCGAGTCTATCAATGCAGTATCTGCAGTAAGATCTTCCAGAACAGCAGCAACCTCAGCAGGCACATCCGTTCTCATGGTGGGTTTGCTTTTGTCTTGCATATTGATTTTGTATCTCATTGGTTCCACCTTTGAGTAAAAGAGCTAGGCCGTTTTAGATAGTGGGATACATAATTTTAAGTGATCTGGGGGATGGGGCTTAAGTTGCTCTAGGAAACTTTTTGTTATGCAGGCCAAAGCATACAAATATAATAGTTGAAAGTTGGAGTATTTAAAATTTGAATTTAGGTACGTATTTTAAACAAAGGCAAGGATGCAGTGGTTTTTCCAAAGCTATTCTTGCCTTTAAATATATATCACGCCCCACCTTCACAGGCAGCATTGGTGTGTAAATGTCAGCTGGGTGCTTTTTAACTTGTGATCTGCAGTTGCAGGTGTCCATGACCTCATTGTAAGGATTTTCTGACAAATAATCACTGAAAAAGGGTGGGGGAACCAAACAAAATTGTTGCCAAAATTGTTGGAAAAGGTTAAAATCCAGTATTTGGATCTCCTGAATTACTGAAGTGGCTCATCACTAGCCTGTTTGTTTGCAGTTTGTGCTTTGGTTTCTCCTGCTTGTGTGTGTTTGTGCTTTGGTTTCCCCTGTCTTGCCTGGAGTTGGTTATTATCAGTCACTGACTACTTTCTTTTTATGTTGATTGATCCCCTCAGGTGACAAACTATTTAAATGTGAGGAGTGCGCAAAGCTGTTCAGCCGTAAAGAGAGCTTGAAGCAGCATGTTTCATACAAGCACAGCAGGAACGAAGTGAGTGGAAATGAGTAGCGGGCTCTTTCTGAGCTTAGGTGAAAATGCACAATGAGCTTCTAGGTGCTGGCTGGGGAGCTTGGGTCAATTATATTTGAGAAGGTATCTGTGTGAATAAGTGAGACATAACTGATAGGGAGGTAACACCTGTTAGAGCAGTGGATGCGTTGGCAAAGCATGGGTATGCTTTTGAGCATACAAGTCCTTTTTTTGTGTCTGAATTTCCTAAAGAAAGTCATTTTCAGGTATCAGTTACAGCAAGACAAGCTGGTGTTAGCTGGACCTGCATGATCTAGAGATGAGATCTCACTTCAGTTTATTGCACTAAATGGGATTGTTCCAGTCTTGTTTGCTTGTCCTGTTTCATTTATCCCCACCTGTAGTGTCCCTCAATGTATGAACTCTCTGGGTAAGGGCTGTGTCATTAAGGTCTACACACACATGTGTAAACCTGCAGTGCTTACAATAGCAGCACTGTCCCTGTTGGTGAGGGCTTTTCAGTGCTGCTGCCATTTAAGTATTAAACATGGTTGCAGTGGTGCCTTACCAGTGAATATTTCCATTACTGCTTGGCATTGAGGTCCTAAGCGCTCAGATTGCTGGAATCTGTTCTGGAGCTGGAGGGTGAGTCAGATTATGTCTTGTTTCTCAAAAATCCTGTCACTGTGTTTGACTGGTGCTTATCAATGAGAGTGTTACATGCACACAGATGCATGGTCTACTCTTTGTATAGAGCTCCGATGTGGGAACGTGGCAGGATGGTACAGCATCAGAGTTTTGCTTCACTGTGTATTTAAATGTCCTGTTGAAGGAAGCAAAATAGGAAAGACGGAAAACAGAAAAAGTAGTTGAGATTTAGCATCTCTCTGTCAGATGTAACTGGGTGTTTTTACCACTTAAATTCTTACTGTTTGCAATCCTCAGGTTGACAGTGAGTACAGATACAAGTGCACCACGTGTGAAAAGGCCTTTCGGATAGAGAGTGCATTGGAGTTCCATAACTGCAGGACAGGTAAGAATGGCTAACCGTTCAGTTTCCTTTGGTCTCTCTACTCGTTTTGGGGGGATGTTGACAAGTCCATGTCAGCATAGAAACTACAGAAGGGAGTAAAAATTTAGATTTTTGGCATCCTCTCAAGAAGCAACCTGCCCCCTTTCCTGCCAAAAAAACCCTCGTTTGTGATAAGAAAAGTGTAACCAGTAATCCATAGAGCAACGCTTCCGTTTAATTTATTGCTTTTTTGTTTTAGCCTTACTGCTTTTTCATTTGTATGTTCAGATACCCTGTTACCACCTCTGTTTAATTTTCTTTCCTGAAACTATGTTTTACCTTATTTCTCTGAAATAACGGAACTGGAAAGGAGGCTGGCACTATCGATAGTGTGTAGTTATTTCTGGGGTTGCAGTTTTCTGCTTTCTCATGCTTGCTTTATACTTGCGATAGACTCTAGATGTTGGTGTGTTGTTTTTTTCTCAGTATCATTAGAACCTGTTCTTTTTTTCCATAGTCATCTTGTAACTTGTGGTTACAAGTTACATAGTAACTTAACATAGTAACTTAACATAGTGACTTAACATAGTGACTTAACATAGTGACTTGTGGTTACTCATTTATGCTGAGGACTGTTATGCTTAGAAAATGACATCCTGGTTACTTTTATGGACCCATGGAATCACAGAATAGTTTGGGTTGGAAAGGACCTTAAGATCATCTAGTTCTACTGCTTTTTCCTGGAGGCACTAGTAGGGGTCTCTTTACTGGTGCACCAGCAGGTTTTTCATTTGACGTGGTGTGTGTTGCCTCATTAGCCCCCTACAGAACTGCAAAGTGGTTCTGGGTGAGGACATTGGATTTTAGAGGAAGCCCCTTGCTTTTAATTGTCCTTGTCCTCCTTTTTTGTTTTTTTTTTTTTTGGTGGGTTTTTTGTTTATCCAGCCCTTTTCATTTTCATGTCCTTCCAAGTCTTCAATTAGTTTCATATCTTCTTTAGAGTACCTAGGTTTATTTTGCTCAATTACCAGTTTACCGTCAGGAATTAAGGACATCACCTTAACTCTTTCTGTTTCTGCTTCCTGTTTAGCCTCACGATCAGCCAAATTATTTCCAGTCTCTTGATCAGAGTTACCTCTTTGATGTCCTTTACAATGTATGATAGCCACTTCATTGGGTAATTGTACAGTTTCTAACAATCGTAGAATTTCCGTTGCATGTTTAACCTTTATCTTCCCTGGGTATTTAAAAGTCCTCATTCTTTCCAGATTGCTCCACATGCATGAACTACACCAAAGGCATATTTGGAATCAGTTCATATGTTTATCTGCTTGTTCTTTGCCAACTCCAAGGCTCTAGTCAGGGCTATTATTTCTGCCTTTTGTGCTGAGGTGTTAGAGGGTAATGGTTTAGCTTCTATTACCTTTGAAGTTGTAGTTATGGCATATCCTGCTCTTCATTTACCATCTTTAACGAAGCTGCTGCCATCAGTGAACTGGGAATCTGCACCCTCCAGAGGCTCCTCCTTCAGATCTGGTCGGCTCGAATATACTGTCTATAGTGGCCAAGAAATCGTGAGTTAACGGTTCAGTAGGGGTTTCCTGAAGGAAAGATGCTGGATTCACAACATTAGTGATCACAATTTCCACATCATCCAGTTCTACTAGGATGGCTTGATACTTCAAGAAACGTGATCATTGGCGATAGCCAATGTGTACCTTTTTTGTTCTAGGACTGTTAGATACTGCATGTGATACTAACACGGTGATCTTTTGTCCCAGTGTAAATTTTCGGGCCTTTTGGATGTTTAAGATAACTGCTGCCACTGCTGTCAAGCATCCAGAACAGCCTTTACTTGGTTCATCCAGTTGTTTTGAAAAATAGGCCACTGCTCTTTTATAAGGTCCCAATCTTTGAGCCAAAACCCCCAAGGCAATTCCGTTTCTCATGGGAATATAGCCAAAAGTGTTTAGTTATGTCCAGCAGCCCCAGAGCTGGAGCTCTCATGAGTTCTGTCTTTAAACTTTTAAACACTTCTTCAGCTTGATCTGTCCGTTTTAGAAAGGTTGGATTTTCTTTTAGCAGCTCATATAAGAGTCTTACCAGAACACCATAATCATGGATCCAGAGTCGACACCATTCTGTCATTCCCAGAAACATCCAGAGATCTTTAACCGTGGATGGTCATGGTGTTTGAGAGATTGCTTCTTTGCAAGCTGCTCCAAGTTCTGGTTGTCCTCCTGTTATTTTGCATCCTAAATAAGATACTTGAGTTTGAATTAGTTGAGCCTTCAATTTAGATACTCAGTATCCATTTAGCCCCACCCAGTAAGTTAACAATTCTACAGTCCATTGAACACATTCTCTCTCAGTTCTGGTAGCAATTAACAGGTTGTCAACATACTAAAGTTGCTGTCTGGGTGGGTGCTTCCCAGGATTCTAATTCTCATGCCAATTGATTTGCGAAAATGGTCTGACTGTTTTTAAATTCCTGAGGTAACACCATCCAAGTGAGCTGTATCTTTCTTCCTGTTTCAGGGTTTTCCCATTCGAAAGCAAATAAATTTTTACTTTCTTTGGCCAGGGGCAGACAGAAAAATGCATCCTTTAAGTCCAGAACGGTAAACCACTCCTGATTAGTATTCAATTTAGTCAATAAGGTATGCAGATTAGCTACTACTGGATGAATGTCCTCCACAATTTTGTTGATTGCTCTGAAATCTTGAACTAGTCTGTAACTTTTCCCATCGGATTTATTTAGTGGCAAGATAAGAGTATTATATTCTGATTCACATTCAATTAATAATCCATATTTTAAAAAAATATTTCTTTGATTCCCTTTTGATCCTCCAATTTTAAGGGATATTGTTTTATTCTAATTAGGCAGGCCTCCCTTTTATTTCTACTTCAACAGGCAAAGCATTTTTTTTGCCTTACCTGGAACTTCAGATACCCATACTCCCAGATATACCTGAGTAAGGATTTCTTCTATTTCAGGGAGGTCCTTCTGTTTGTTTTTCTGTTGAATTAAAGATAAACTCAAAACTTCAATTAATTGATAGGTTTTGACTCTTAATTCTGTTTTGCCTTCTTTAAACGTTGCTTCTTGGCCTAGTAAAGATTTTGGAGAATTTGGCATGTATAAAAATTTATGCATTCCTGTTTGTTTTCCCAATTTATTCTCTAAAGGTTTCAGAAAGAATGCTTTTTTTTTTTCTTTTTTTTTGGTGTCCAGTAGCTCCCACATGTGTAACAAATTCTTTTCCCTCTGATTTAACGCTGAATAAGTTGCTCCTATATCCAGTTAAAAATCCCACTTTATTTCCTCTAGTCCCTAGTTTTAATTTAATCAGTGGATCTGCTAGGATAGTTTCCCCAGGTCCCCATCAGTCTAGTTCCAGTTCAGTCACCAGAGCCACCCCATGGCACTCCCCCCAGAGCAGTCTCACTTCCAATGTCCAAACTCCTTACAGTATGCGCATTGATCCCATCCCACAGGAGAATTCAATCTCTCACCTCTGCCTGACATTCCTCCTCTACCTCTGCCTCCTCCTCTCACGTTAGTCCCTCCACCAGTTTCTACTTGTCCCAAAGCAGCCACTCAGTGCTTTCTTCTTTACCTGTTCCCGATTCCTATATGCTCCCCACGCTTCTTTAACATTCAAATCCTGTTCTGTTGCTAGTGACAGCAACCTCTTCCTCCTTATCAATAACAGATGGGGCAGATGCCGAGAGTGCTCCTCTTGGAGGTACCTATGATACACAGTCACCCAACCTATCTTCCTGATTACTCTGTTTGTTTTTTTGGTTTTGTTTCTGTTGGTTTTTTTTAACTTTAAACATCATTCCCCCAATATCACAGGTTGAACAGCATGTCTCCATCTTAGCTTTCTGTTTTTCCGTCCTTTTCCAAAGCCAAAATCAGGGATCTGGCAGAGCTGTATTTATTTCACATTCCGTCTGCCACTCTGGGTGGTTTCTTAAAGTGAGAAACGTATCTGCATACATCACTTCATCCCATTTTCCTTGTTGTCTTAAAAATAACATTAATTTCAACAATGTGTTCAGAGTTCCATTTTTGGGCCATTTCTCCTGATCCTCCCAGAGTATACAAGGGCCACCATTGGTTACAATATTTCACCAACATTTTCTTAGTTACTGAGACCCCAGGAAACCCTTCCAGTTCTTTTCAATGTGCCAAAATGCACCCTAAAAGACTCTTTTTCAAGATCTCTCCACTCTGCCGATTTCCCGTTATCAGTCTCGCATTCACACACACACGGGATCCTGCAGACACACTCCACACAGTTACAACACTTGAGACAGAGACTAAAATTGTATCAAACAAACAACAATTAACACTTATAATAGTCTGTAACCAAGACCAAAATCACAAGACCAAAATCATCACTATAACAAGCCACAAAATAGTCACACTCCACACGGTTACACCACTTGAAACAGAGACAATTAGTAATGCAGTTATAACAGTCTGTCACCAATACCAAAATCAGAAGACCAAAATCATAACTATAACACACCACAATGTAAGTCAAATACCAGTAAAATCCAAAACTGTTTCTACAGGATGTCCACTGTGTCTTGCAGGACCCAGACCATAAGGTGCCCCCTGCTTCTTGTGGGTGTATACCAAACGGATGCTAGCAGCTGGGTATACACCTTTACCCATGAGATTTCCTATCTCGATTTACAGAAGGCTTCCAAACCATTCGTACGCTTACCAAACCAATTTACCAAACCGAGATGCCCCCTGCATCTTACAGACTATACAAAAGAAAAGAATACCTTTTATGAGATGGTCCTTGTCTGCTCCCGCAGTGATCCGAATCTGAGCCGAGCTGAGGGGTTCCTCTGGGAAAAACTCCCGAGGGCCCTAGGGAGCCCTGTCCTCAGCAGGTCCTGCAGCCGAGCAGAGAGGGTCCCATCTGGGGTGCCAGATTGATTCGGAGAAAAATCCCAGAACAAACTCGCCAGCAGAGTTTCAAGTTGACAAGCAGGTATTCTTTATTGCAGTGCTGGGAGACACGAGGATCGCTCCTCCAAGGATGTCTCTCCCAAGTGTCAACCAGGCTGTGATTATATTGTCCTTAACATACATATTCATTAGATTACATACATGACATCATACTTTTTAGAGAATGCCTCCTGTATGCATACAAAAAATGTGGTAGTGGGCTTTCAGACCCCTGGTAGTTATTTCTTCATCACTTTGTTTTAGGATCGTTGTCATATCAGTAACCACCAGGTGTTTCTGGCAAAGCTTATTTTAGTAATTTCCTTTTCTCTATAGTTGCTAACAAAGCCTAATGTTTTTGAGGTTACTTATTTACAACCCTTTTCTTCAATCAACCCCATTCTTCAGTTTGTTTGTTTTTTTTTTTTTTTTTTGTTGTTGTTTGTTTGGTTTTTTTTTGTTTAGTTTTGGTTTGTGGGTGGGGTTTTTTTGTTGTGTTTTTTTTTTGTTACTAGCTCCCAGGTCCCTTGATTACCGCCCTTCTCCTTTTCTGTATGCGCTGTGGTGGACGCCTGTGGCCCCTGTACAGCTCAGGCCTGGAGCAAGCAGCCCAGCTCTCTCAGCTTCCCTGACACCTTTCAGCCACCGCCAGCGTCCCGCAGCTCAGCCCCTGCCGCAGGAGGGCCTCCACCAGGGCACCGAGTGCAGCCCTGCCCACGGCGCACCCTCTCCTCACGACTCCGGTGCAGGCGCTCTCTGCACCCCGAGCTCCGCGCTGCAGCCCCCCCTCTCATCGGCTCTGTCTGGTGCCGACGCCGCCACCGCGGGGGCAGCCAGAGCAGAGCTCCCAGAGCGGGCCCGGGCCCGGGCCCTGGCCCTGAGGCGAGCGCTCCCCATCCCTCCCGCTGCCCGCTCGCGCTGCCGACGCCAACCGCCGTTCCCGCGCCCCCTGTGAGTCCCTGCTCGCCTCAGCGGAGCTGCGGCTCCCGGGCAAGGCCTGGCGAGGGCTCGAGGCTCCCTCGGTGGCTCCCGCCGCTCGGAACTGAGGCTCCGGGACGCGGGGTTTCTCCTCGCTCTGTCAGACTAGAATCACCTGGGTAATTGCCCTTTACATCACCAAAGTAGGATTTCTCATTGTCTTTCAGAGGGTACAGCTTATATGAAACTCAGGTTTATGAAGAATGGAGAGTAATGCCAAGTAACCTCAGTATTCTGTTTATTCAAGGGCAGCAGCTCATTTCATCTTGTGAGTTGACCACAACAAGCAGCAGTATTTGCTCTTCAAGGCGTTCAACTGTTACTTTGTGGTTGGTGCAGCACTGGCAGATTCCATCTGCCGGACCATACTTTTGTGTTCCAAGAAAAGTCTCAACTACTGAATAAAAACAAATTCCCCATAGGCCTATTGTCATATGATGGCCTATTTTTGAGATCTTTTACCTTCTGGAACATTCTGTACTGGCTGGTATTAGGAGCCAGTGCTGGCAGGCAACTTCTGGTAATTAGGTAAGAAGGATTCTGGCGCTTAGGCACAGCTGCTCATGTGATGTTGTGTTGTTGTATATGTAGTATACATATATGTATATGTAGTGATGTTACCAACATCAAAAACTTGAACCAACTGTAACAGAATCTACTCCAAATAATTTTAATGTACACTGGGCCAAAATGGAGAGAGGCCTTGTAAGGAAGTTACAGCGCTAGATTCCATGTTCGTATTAACGTCATACATACTTACTGCCTTTTAAAAAATCTTTAAAGTAAAAGAAGAATACATGCTTTTGCTTTTACCTCCTCAATCCATATAAAGATGGATTATATTTTAAAATTCAGATCTAACAGAAGAACTACCGAAGCGACTAACGAAAGTATCTGTTTTCATCTGTAAATAACCGCATGGTTTCTCTTGCTTACAGATGACAAGACATTCCAGTGCGAGATGTGTTTCAGGTTCTTTTCTACAAACAGTAATCTCTCAAAACACAAGAAAAAGCATGGAGATAAGAAGTTTGCTTGTGAAATCTGCAATAAGATGTTTTACCGGAAGGATGTCATGCTAGACCATCAAAGACGACACTTAGAAGGTAAGTATACTACAGATCAATCTAATTATTCCTCTTGAAACAGCAGTAGAGGTGGGAAGGTAAAGGAATTGATTGTGTCTTTTTTTTTTTTGTCAGTTGCCTGATCTTGAATAGCAGGATTCAGCAAAATGTGACATTTATTAAAAATAATAGTAACAGTTGTCTAATTCTATGAAAAACTTTCCAGTTTTTCATAGGCACCAAAGGCTTTTTTTTCAGT